AGTTTCCTCTCAGCCAATGGCCGAGGTGATTCCCAGTGATGCCAGGACGCTGTGAAGAATTAGAGCTGATGTCTGAACAGAAGAGCAGAACAGAGCGGCGGTGAGATTCTTCCATGTACCTGTCAGCCTGAAATGATGGCCGACTTCCTGTGAGCTGGAGAAGCACTAATGGTCTCCAGCTGGACAGAAAATATCCTCACCGTGTGTGTGTGGTTCAGCCTCCTGCAGCCAGAAACTTTACACCTACGTTCGGTCAGAGGATGACTTAAACATATGTGAATTTCCGTGTTCACCTGACGTGGTACTTTCCCAGAGAAGGAAAGATTCGGTCGGTAAACTTTGATCGGGATCGAACCCAACGGTGATTTCACAACACACCGCTGTTCCTCATGTGATGGGAATTTTGTTTCTGTTTCTTCTGTGGAGACCAAACTGTGGAGGTTTGGCTGCGCTGCTCCTCATTCTCCGTACGCTCTGCAGCTGCATTACAAACACAGAGCCAACAGTGTCTGTAACTGCCACGGAGCAGAGTGCAAACACGGGCCAGAACAAACGTGTTGATGGACCATGAACATCCACCCGGACCAGGAGAAGCTCACTCTGAATATCACCAAAAAAAACAGAGGAAAAAAAAACAACAACAGAATTTAAAAGTGTTTTCAAACACAGGAGCTGAGCCTCAGCAGGGTTTAATACACTCCACTGTGAGAAGAAGACTGTGATCAACTGCAGGTTCTGAATCAACTGTTCACATGTTTGATCAGGTCTTCATGTTTGATCAGGTCAGGACAGTTGACCTTTGACCTGAGGACATTGTTGGCTCGTTTTTTTTTCCTGTCTTGATTTCTCCTTCCTACGTTTCTACTCATCTCAACAGAAGCAGGAGCAACAACCTGGAGGTGAAAGACCAGGAAAAGCTAATGCTAATGCTAATGTCGCGAATGTCTTGCTTTACAAGGATAATGCATGTGAAAGGAGGCGGGGGCGCTGCTGAGCTAGTACAAAAAAAAACTGCTCGAATTACGAATACCAATAAAACGAAGTTGGACTGGAAGAAGCTTCTAGAATGTTGGAACTACTCTGGAAAAAAACCCCTGTTTTCTACAGGTACTCCAGTTCAACATTTGTAACAAGATGGCCGCGACCCCGTTCTTATACAGCGTCTATTCTTAACATCTGCAGATGTGCAGAGAACACGGCGTTCCACATTAGTTTAGATTCAACTTTTGTCCAAAACAGACATTCGTTTCTTCTTTTTTTTTTTTTTTGATCTATGGAACTGAAGAGGTTTTCAGTTGTGACTGGAACCAGATCTAACTGAAGCAGACAGAGAGAACTGAAGCCATGTTCCTCAGCTTCTCTCCCGCTACACATGAAGTCCAACCATAGCACATACTTAAGATCTTTTGCTCCAGGAATGTGTGTGTGTGTGTGAGAGAGAGAGAGAGAGAGAGAGAGCCATGCTGCTTTTCATCCAGAGGTGTGTTTTCATGATCTCCAGCCTACACAGAGGTCCCCGCTCCGGGGCCTGAGCCACATTAAAGCCACATGTGTGTGTTTTTCTTTCCTACAGCCGTGTCGTACCTGCAGATCTCAAACCCCTGACGCAGGAGAGCGCCGCTGCTGTCGTCAGGACGGAGTCCACTAAACCCTGGCGATTACAGCCGTCGTCGCTCGGTGTGGAAGATTCATCGGTCTGCCGAGGTTTAAGGACCTGATGAGTCAGAGTGGACCGACTGTGGACCGACGGTTGGAAAATGTAAGTGGCCGTGAGTTCACATTTCATTTCATTCTGCGGTGGAACTCACACGAAACGCCCGGTGAGAGAAAACCTTCCCCCGAGCCAATAAAACCATCTCCAGAAGGTTCTGGCAGATGTTTGATCATGGACGTGAGAGGTGCTCCACAAAAATGTCTCACAGATGTCTTCACATCACAGCAACACACTGTCCAATGAGTGAATGTTTGGACACCTGGGAACAGAACCCTCTCATTCATCATGACTCTACACACTTCACCACTGCGCCGTCTTTAACCTGGAACCAAGAACAGTACCAGGAACTGTCTCAGCTGCAGTTTATTACTTCCATTAAAAATTTTCTTTTGAGTAATTTGCAGAAGAGCCCTTCCAGCAGGTGGCGCCATGGGCACTGATCTACGTGGACAATATCAAAAGCTGACTCTAAGTTGTGTAGCATTTAGCATTTAGCATGTGGACGTGGTGTAAAAAAAAGATTCTGATCAAACTGATTTATTATACATTTATTATATTTAAAAATCAAAAATCAACGTCTGATTTTTATTTTTTAGTTTGACATAGAGATTTTCCTGCCGCGATGTTAGTTTGTGCCTCCGGACTTTCCGTAGTTGGTTCGGAGGACAGGAAGTTAATTACACCGCCGTTGTTGATCTCTGATTTATGGCCTGAAAACGTTTACTTGTCGGTAATGTTTTATGTCCAGATTCTGCATCGTTACATGTAGATAATGTTTTATTTATTATTAAATAATAGAACCAGAAAAGACGTTAGTCGCTAATCCGTACATGCTAAAACGCTAGCATCTCTATGTTATTTCGCATATAGGTTAGCATTGAGCTCGCGGACTTTTTTTGTGTGGTTTAAACATGCTGTTTTTATGTTATATGTCAATATGTTTTTATTTTTATTTTATTGTTTATTGATGTTCTTTATTGGGGAAACGACGTTCGCTAGATGCAGACAGGAGGCGCAGAATACAAGGTAAAGGTTGAGCTCGTCTCCATCAGCCCCACCCTGATCACATCTGCGCACACACACACATATCCCAGAAGGTCTTGGGTTTCACACTTCCGGTGCTCTGCTCCCCAGGCTCTTGGCTGAGGTCTGGATGTGAGACGTTGTTTCCTGCTGCTCTCAGGTAAAAAGAAATTGTAAAATCGATTTGTTGACGCAGTGACGTCAGTCATTTTATCATCGACTTAACATGTAATGGACGGTTAGGTTTAGGGTTCATTGGTAACAGACACTGAAGGAAGTTGTGTGTTAAACTTAAAAAAAAGGAAAAACTTTAAAGTGACTGTGGTTGAATTTGGTGTTTGACGACACCTGTGTGGTTTGGACAGGTGCCTTCAGGAGGTGGGCGGAGCCTGGTGTGATTGGGGGATGGGAATCACCTGAGCCCTCATGGTCCCCAGCCTTTAAAACCCGGTCCTTATCAAGGTTAGTGCTGTTTGACTGTGTCCGTGCTTGGTCACTCTTCACCTCCAACAACCGATCTTAACGGTTCTAGTCTTTGACGTTAGAGTTTGTGTGATTCTGCTGTTTGATTTTAAAGCTACAAAAAACTAATCTATTTTAGTGTGTAACAGGAACAATATCAGCAAGGAATATATTGTCACATTGTGATTTTTTGAAACTAGAACATTGTCAGTTTTTAAAACTGGTGTGTTGGTCACACAGATGTGTCTGTTATACTTTAGATTATAAAAAATACAAATATTACACACACACACATGCTGCTGCTCATGTGGTTATCCCCCCCCCCCCCACTCCTCTCACCTCCACCACACACACTCTCTCCACACTCCCTGACTTCCACAATCTGCCACTTGTCACTTCCTCCTTCTCTGTAACACATCTGTATTGTGTTCATGACAACACACACACACACACACACACACACACAGTGTTGTGTTTACAGGCCGTGCTGCTGTAGTTCATGTCAGCTCTGACTGTACAACAGTCAGACACAGGACTGTACAGTGTCTGACCACGTCATGTGTAATAACATAAATGTAATAAATCAACGATTTATTGCTGAATTTATTGGAGATCTGTACAACAGTCAGACACAGGACTGTAGTGTCTGACCACATAGATGTAATAAAGCAACGATTTATTGGGGAGTTTATTGGAGAGGAACTTTGACATTTCTAGGAAAATTTATGAATTAATGGGCGAACTTCAACTATTGGCCAGAAGGTGGCATCACACCTTCAAAATAATTATAGCTCATTTAAAATAACGTCATTTCTATGTAACTTTTTTCTTTATATTTTTGAGGCACATACGTTTTTTTTTTCTTTGATCAAGGTTTGAGATTTTTCTTTATTCTAAAGTTTGGACTTTAACCTTCCACTGGTTGGTGTCTCTGCAGCAGAGTTAAGGTGGGCGGAGCTTTGGGCTCTGACAAATAGGTGTTTGTTGAGTTGATTGGCTGATGAACTAAAATGACTCAACTAAGAAAAGAACACATCATACGTATTGTTTTTTTCTTTTTTTAAAATAATAACTAGAGATTCTCTCATTTTAAGATGTGTAGCAACACCACCATCTGGTGGTTGTTTTAAGGACTGCACTATCCGGTAAAATAATTCTCCAACCTCCTTAGATTTTCGTTTGTTTTTCAGTTTGTGTCCAGTGTAAAGAAATAAAAATCTGTTAAAAAAATGACCTCCTGGTCTTTGACCAGTTAATAAGTGCTTTTACAATAACTTTGCGTGAAATCACGTGAAACAGTGTTTATAAATTACCAAAAATAATCTGTAATCCTACAAGAGAGGCCAGGATTATTTTTAAAGATTAGTAAGAAAGGAAGATTGAGTCAAAATGAAACGTTCTTGTTGTTTATATTAGAAAAACATTCTGATTTGAGCAGAAAACAAATTTGTTCTGTTTGGCCTGGACTCTACTGCGGCCTATAACTTGGCCTTCTCCTGGGTGGAGTCACAGCTCAGGTGAGCTCTGAGGAACTCCTGGATCTTCTTCCACAGTTGGACTTCAGCCGCAGCGTGGGACTTGGCCTGGCCCCCCCACACAACTGGTTTCCCTAAAAACCCGTGAAAGCTGGAGGCGCAGTACGGCCCGTAGGGCGGCTCCAGGTAGTGCCCCGACCCACGGCAAATGAGGACCTCAAAGTTGTCCTTCCCATGATGCCTCAGTCTCTGCGTCATCTCGTCCACGAAGGCCGGGCTGTCCCAGTTGTTGTCGTCCTCCGACGCCACGAAGAGGAAGCGCCCCGAGGCTTGTTGGATGGGGATCAGCGAGGCCCGGTTCTCCTCAGCTGCCGGGTCAGGGATGGCGTTCTTGGTGATGAAGGCTCCAGACTCGGTGGAGACCACTTTGCTGACATCGAACGGTAGAACCGACAGGATCTGTTTCTTCTTGTAATAGAGGGGGAACACCGTGTTGGCAGAGCAGCCGTTGATCCACACGGTGGCGTCAATGTCCGGCAGGAAGGAGGCGATAGAGAGCACCAGGTCTCCACTTTTGGAAAGGGACGTTAACCCGACTCTTTTACTGCCGACCTGTGGAGAAACGTCAGGGTTGAGGACCACGGAGTCAGAGCACAGATTTAGTACTAAAGTACTTTACTGGAGCGTAGGTGACGTAAACACGTGCCTAAAACTTTTGCACAACACTGCCCCACGCACCTTGTCTTGTTTTTTTAAAAACTCGATGGCTTCTTCAAAATAATCCAGGTGAATCTCACTGATATTTTTCGGCATGTCATCGATCCCGTACAGAGCTACGGTCATCACCACGAACCCTCGGCCGGCCAGCAGGGCGGCTCTCTTCTCAGACAGACCTCCACCGAAGGTGTACAGGTCCAACACAGCAGGGTATGGACCTGGTCCTGGTGACAGGAAGTACACCAGGAGGCACACAGAATCCAAATCAGAGGATGTTAATGGCCCCTGTTGACCAACAGAGGTACTGCAACCACAAATGCGTTTCTGGAAAACCTCTAACAAACCAACACAAATGGGTTTTGATCAGACAAACCAACCAGGTGGCGTGAACAGGACTCCTCGTACGTTTCCGTCTTTCACGGGCCGTCGTTGGACTCCGTCAGCCATCATAAGCCTCTCAGCCACCAACTCGGCCAGCGTCCTGCCCTCTCCCTGCCCCCGCCCCTCCACTTCATGCACAGAGAACCTCACCACATTGGGCTTCAGTGAGTTTGTCTTTTGAAACCTTTGGTGCAGCGTGTCGGCCTTCATGGACCACAGCAGACCCATGGGTTCGACGCCCACGTAGCTCCCGCTCAGGGACGGGTCTCTGTGCAGATCCAGCTCCCCGAGGCTGTCGGCCCTGTAGGTGGCGCTGGATCTGAACTCCACCCCCTTGTCATCCGTGGAGCTGGCCTTCAGTGCCACCACCTGCCTGGACCTCAGCCCCGACACCTTCACCTGGAGGAGGTCGTCAAACAAACACCTGGCGCTGGGCAGCAGCCTGAGTCTGACCTGGGAGGACATTTTTATCTGGACAATGAGGAAATAAAAGATAAAAACTGAATATTTGACTATTTAGCTGTTGTACTGAGCAGTTAAATGGATTAATATCAGTTAGCAGAAGTCTAAGCAGGCTACCTGCTAGCTCAACGCTAACAAACATCGAGCTAGCACACTGCTAACGTGTCTTTAATAATTGTGGCCATTCAGTAATCAAACCGAACCGATACTGTATGTTTGAAAAAGGACACGGGGCCTCCAAATGCGTTCTTAGCACCACCTACTGGCCAAGGTAAAAAAAAAACAACACAACCTCAGGCCAACATTAATCAGTGTTTTGTCTAATTTTTGTCTAAACACAGCTGCAGCCCTGACCGTGAACATTCACCTTCAGCATTAATCAAATAACGTCACTGTCCGTCAAAGACTGATTTAATCAGAGAGACAGTTTTCTGAGTGACATTGTTGTAAAATATAAAGAAATAACTGGACTAAATCTGTGTGAAAAA